AGTTTAGAAACAGCACTTCTACGAGAAAGAGCTAAGCGAGTCTACAGACGAGCGTTACTTGTTATACTACTCCACAAAAACAAGAAGCTATGCACCTAATTATTCGAGAATTATTACAATCAGGTCTTATTCGTCACTCTTATTCTAATTATGCTGCTCCAGCAATGTTAGTACCTAAGAAGGATAATACTTGGCGGATGGTAGTTGATTACAAGAAATTGAACAGCATCACTATTAAAGATAATCATCCTTTACCTAATATGGAACAAACAATCCAAATATTAGGAGGAGGATACCAATTCTTCTCTAAGTTGGACATGAAAAGTGGCTTTTGGCAAATTCCAATTAAAGAAGAAGATAAACACAAAACGGCATTCATTACTCCAGATGGACTATATGAATGGAATGTATTACCTCAAGGTTTAAAGAACAGCCCTCCATCATTTCAACGAGTAATGTTAGATATATTATCTCCGTGCCGACAATTCTCATTGGTTTACATTGATGATATTGTTATATTTTCTCGTACCTATGAAGAACATGTTAATCATTTAACTCAAATTTTATCTATATTATCCAGTCATAATTTACAATTAAATTCATCCAAATGCTTTATATTACATCGACAAATAGATTATTTATCACATACTGTTTCACAGTTTGGAGTGAAACCTAGCAAAGAAAAGATTCAAGCAATTATAAATTTACGTGAACCTACAACATTAGCAGCTGCTAATAAATTTATTGGTGGTCTTTCCTGGTATCGAAAATTTATACCTCAATTTGCATCTGTAGCAGCACCAATTATCTCGGTAACGAACTTAACAAAACCAAATCGAAAGAAGTTCGTATGGGGACATTCTCAACATGAAGCATTTCTTCAATTGAAGCAATTATTAATTAGTCAACCATTATTTCTTCAGTTTCCGTATGATGATTATCCGGTAATTTTAACTACGGATGCATCTAAGGTTGGTATTGGTGGTACATTACAACAAGTGATTAATGATGAAACAAAGAATTTATATTATCATTCTCAAATTACTTCTCCCACTCAGAGGAGATATGATCCAATTGAACTGGAAGCACTGGCTATATGGGCATGTTTTCGACGTATGCGTTCATATTTATTAGGAAGGTCAATCATTATTTACACGGATCATTGTCCTTTATGTAATATGATGAATACGTCTGTGAAAAACAGACGAGTTGATCGGATCTCTATGTTATTACAAGAATACAATATCGAAAAAATTATTCACATTAAAGGACAACAGAATTGTCTTGCTGATTATTTATCTCGTAACCCAATACAATTTGAACCTGAAGAAATATTTGAAGAAGATTATGGTATTAATACACTATTTAATGAGAAACCGCCGGTTTCGGCGTCTGTTTCCGTTGATAAACACCCTGTTATAGGTGCCGTTGTTACACGTTCAATGAAGAAAAAATTTGTCCAACAAGAATTTGAATTAGATAAATCTTCTTTATCGATGGAAAAAGATCCAGACTCATCTCCATTAGAACAAGTCAAGGATTTATCATCTCAATCACCAGTTAATTCATATACCAATAATCAATTTGATATAAAAAAAATTAAATTGGAACAAACAAAAGATCCTATTATTCAGAAAAAAGTCAAAGAAATTCAACAAAATCCTACACGTGGTTCATTTGTATTGCATGAAGGATTATTGTATAAATTGATCCCGACGAATTTACGAAGCATTACAAAAATTAAATTAATTTATATACCTTCATCTATGATTAATACTCTTCTCAAGGCTTATCATTCAGATCCATTAGCTGGACATTTTGGAACACGACGTACATATTACAAATTAAAGAATAAATATTGGTGGCCGGATATGAAACAATCTATTACTCAATTTATCAAGTCTTGTTTGCCATGCCAACAATACAACGTTAGTCGATCAAAAAGACCTGGTTTACTTTGTCCAATCGAGACACCAACTGGACCCTTTCTGCTAATTGGGATTGATTATTGTGGACCATTTAAACGTACTCCAAGAGAAAATCAATATGTGTTATGCATCACTGATTATTTTACTCGTTGGATTACTGCCGTTGCTTTACCTGACTGTACTGCTCAAACGACGGCTCAAACAATTTTCAATGAATATATTTGTCGATATGGTGTTCCAGTTTCAATTTTAACTGATCAAGGTACGCATTTTAATAATCATTTAATGGAATCAATGGCTCAATTAAATGGATATAATCATATATTATCTACTGTTTACCATCCACAAAGTAATGGAATGATTGAACGTTTTAATGCTACCTTTGTACCTCAATTGGCTAAACTCCATGATCGTGAAAACAACAATTGGGATGAATATTTACAATCAGTGGTATTTGCATACAATACAGGTGTTCATGCAGCTACTCAACATTCTCCATTTCAATTACAATTTGGCCGTGATGCACGTATGCCTACAGATACAACATCAAATTATGTGTTTTATAAACCGTCAGATTATTACAATCAATTAAAGAAAAGTCTTAAAATTATTCAATTAAATGCTCAAAAACAATCAATTTATTCTCATATGATCAATAAAAATTATTATGATAAAAATCGAAGTAATCCGCAATATGAAATTAATGATAAAGTTTTGATTAGAATTCACGGTTTAAGGTCAAAATTAGATCCACGTTATTCATTGACTCCGAAAATTATTATTCAAAAACAACATCCAACATATTGGGTTAGAGATCAATTGAATGATCAAGTCACTAGTGTACATGTCAATGATAAACGTCCGATATTATTACTATAAAACAATTTAATTTTAACCTATAGTTATTGATTTACATTCTTTTTTTCTTCTTGTACGTTTATTTGTGTTGTTCATGTTATACTTTGCGCCCTCTATC